CTCTCTCTCTCTCTCTCTCTCTCTCTCTCTCTCTCTCTCTCACACACACACACACACACACACACACACACACACACACACACACACACACACACACACACACCCCGAAGCTGCTGTCCTCGTCGGGTGCTGCTGTCCTGGATGCTGCCCAACAGCACCGCCTTCTTGTGGCAATCTTCCTGAATGTCTTCCCCTCACGGCTTCCTTGCTTTTGTCATGTAGTGGACGCTGCATCCAGACCCAGTAGGCAGTGCCTGTGGCCTACGGGGACTGCAACCTGGCCCCAATCTCTGTAACTAACTTCAAGACTGGGCCTACCTGTTATTTACAGGGCCTGGCTCCTGTGCCCAGTCCCAAACAACCCCCTGCCAGCCTTCACTCAGGGCCAGGGACATTTTCTTGGGCCCACCTTCACCTAGGGCACCCTGCACCCCTTTTCCACCAGCTTAAGGGTCGTGGAGGCCTGAAGCCCCGCAGGGCAAAAAATGGCAAAAAATGGCAAAAGAATGAAATCCTAACACTCCTTTCTAAAACGTTGCCTGTACACCTAAGGATTGCACATATACCCTCGGTAAATTGCTGGACCTGTGGTTAAAAAAGAAAATAAAAAACACCTGTCTGGTTGTTGTGCCTGTTGAAAGGGGAAGAGTCTCTCAGATGCCGTCTAAGCTTTTTTTTTTTCTTTTTTTTTTCCTGATCCCGTCGAAGCCTAAACCAACCCCTCCTAGATAATTCATCCAGCCCCGACAGAGAGAAAAAAAATCTCTGTCCATCGGATTATCCATCCAATCGGCGAATAGAACGCACTTGGGGTAATCCTGTAACCGAGGCAGGCAAAAATGTCAGTGGCGGTTTGACCGGTTACGTGGTTTACATTTCTCCAAATTCAAGAATGAAGAAAATAATAAAATATATATCCTTTCTCTGAATTGGCTTATCACTAATGCGATCGTTCACGTACCGTCTTCACCGGAATAGAACACCTGCTCATTATAGCTGTTTTTGGCACAACCATCAGTCTAGAATCTAGATGATGTGATAACGACCGTCGTTATATTCTACCATCTGAAAGACTCTGAACATGAATAGAACACCCAATCATTATAGCTGTATTTGGGACAGCTATCACTCTAGAGTCTAGATGCAGCGATAATGACCCGGTGTTATATTTGGCTGAAGATCGTAGCCAATTTTGGGGAAATGGACATATATTATATAGATGGGTTATAGTCTGAAGATGTCAGGAACTTGAACATGATTGCTTTGGTCTTAAGAAGTTTCTACATTGTAAAAAGAAAAAAGAAAAAAAGAAAAAAAAAACGAAGAAGAAGAAGAAGAAGAAGAAGAAGAAGAAGTTTCTACATTGTAACGGTGAAAGTTCAAACTTCTTAAAAAAATTATCTGCGTTGTGCGATCGGTTTCAAGTTTCAACTTTCACCATTTCACGTTAATAAATTTTGTCAGTGGTCCAGGTTTCATATCTGGATTTTTTATTTTTAATTTTGTTTTTCCCCTTTTTAAGAAAGGGGCTTTTATATTACTGAAGTAGGAAAGCGGCTCCAGCGTTCCTTACATTGTATGTAGTCACTCCATGCTTCTCCCCTTGGTATATAGTTTCTAAGATCTTTACGCAGTTTTTTTTTTTTTTTGTTGTTGTTGTTTTTTTGTTTTTTTTTCCCCGCTTTCTTTCCCGCAGTGTGATTGCCTAGCCAGTTGGGGAGAAAGGATATAGAATCAATGAATCATAGATGATCACTTAACCTTTTTTCTTCTTTTTTTTTCTTTTTTTTTTCCAATGAGCAGATAACCTGCATATGTCAACGAGTCGAACAATTTCTTCTATGGCAACTTTGATCGTCTTTTTGTTTTCAATATTTTATTATTTTCCCCGTGAAGAGGAACGGCCTCTGACGAAAAGGTTATACGCATTAAGGTTTTAACTTTGAACAGGTGACTCGTGTAATAGGTTCAGCTGTGTTGTATGGTTTACAATGAGGCAAAAACTAAGAATATTCTGTATTAACTTTTAAGGGGGGGGGGGGCAGAAGGGTATGGTTTTGGCTGTTGTTTTTAGTGGAAGAGATAAGGGTTCAGTCTCCAATGTCTGTGTGACCCTATTCTGTGTGGATGGCCTATTCTGTTAAGTCTGGACTGACGCTGCCATCCATCACTCAGAAGCTGTCAGGCACAGCTGCACTGGGCAATCTGGACTGACGCTGCCATCCATCACTCAGAAGCTGTCAGGCACAGCTGCACTGGGCAATTTGGAGCCAGGAGGCCTGATCCCTTTCATGTAATTAGTATAGCTGCTGCCGCCGGACATGCCAGCCTTCTGTTCTGTTAAACACTGAGCTTTGTTTGTGGGAATTGCAGGATATCGTCCAAGGCCTCGTATCTCAAATCTTCGAGGGTATTCGGGACCATTTTGTTGCATCTGCTGAGCTCAAGGTACTCTCTCTCTCTCTCTCTCTCTCTCTCTCTCTCTCTCTCTCTCTCTCTCTCTCTCTCTCTCTCNTCTCTCTCTCTCTCTCTCTCTCTCTCTCTCTCTCTCTCTCTCTCTCTCTCTCTCTCTCTCTCTCTCTCTCTCTCTCTCTCTCTCTCTCAATTTTGAGAACCAGTTGATTGTGAGTGTCGCTCCAGGAGTCACACGCACACACACACACACACACACACACACACACACACACACACACACACCCTCTACTCTGCCTCCTTTCATAGCATGCAAGTGGACCATTATGGCACGTGGGGATGTGGGCAGCTCACGCTCAATCACAAGTGATGTAGCGCGCCTTGCGCGTGAGAGGCATAGTAAAAGGGGATGTGCAGGAAGAAATGAAAGAGAGAATGCAACCCGAGGAAGGACTGCAATATAACGGTTATCGTGTGCTTCACGTTGTTTCTTGCAGAGGCAAAGCTGTTTCAATATTGGATCTGCTAATCTGGGTGGAAAAGGGGTTGTTGTGGTGACATCTTATGTCAATATGAACTTTCAATAAAATAATTGATTGAATACAATTTAAATAACATACAAAATAATTTAAATAACATACAAACAAAAATTGAAAAAAATAGATTAAAAAAAAATATATATTGTCCTCTTCTCTCTCTCTGCCTACGGTTTACCGGGCAGTTCTGTTTGTGACGATATATAGATATTTTTATATATCTATATGCATATATCTATATCTATATCTATATATGTAGATATATTATTTGTATATATCTTATTTATCTATTATCTAAATGAAATAATAGATTCAATAATAAACATATATATTCATTTCTATGAAATAGAATGAAAAAAAAAATGATAAACGAAATGGAAAAAGTATATTAATGCTTAATATCAATAAATCAATTTCAGAAAAAAACTTGAATTCATTGTTTTTCCAATAAATTGCTTTTTTCAATTTCGATTTATCTACTTTTTCATAATAGAATATACATTATTTTTTATTACAAAAGTTTTTTTGTTTTTCAAAAAATTCGAATAGATATTAAATACAGAAGGCTTAAAGCGAAGAAATTGATCGTATCATTGCTTTTCAAGGATGATGATAGAGTCTGAGCTTTTAGGTTACTAAAAGGCCACTATTGAGTGTGAGTGGCGTTAAACCATACATGTATAAATTACCCGGACTAAAAATTCATAACAAAATCAAATTGAGAATGTTTAATTAACACATTGCGATGTCGGCTCTTCGCCACCTGGAGCGGTAGTACATTCCCAGGGTTGGGCTGTTCGCCCATGAAAGCGGTACGTGAGCTGGGTTCAGAACGTCGTGAGACAGTTCGGTCCATATCCGGTGTGGGCGTTAGAGCATTGAGATGACCCTTCCCTAGTACGAGAGKACCGGGAAGGACGTACCGCTGATGTACCAGTTATCGTGCCAACGGTAACGCTGATCGACGTGGCGAGTCGTTATGCTTCCGTCAAATGCATCCTGGGCAGACTGTCAGAGTTCAACCTCCTGACGAGTCGGTGAAAAAAACGACAAAACAGTCTGGCACACAGTGATGGCTTTGTGTGTGGAGTTGTTTATAGCGAACATGACGACTCACACACACTTCGTTCTTTTGTCGCTTGTGGCTTTGAGGTGACATGGCCAACCACATGAAGGTGGCTAGCCTTGCACTTCTGCTCTGGGGGGATTTGGTGTTGATTTCTTTTTCCGTCTTCTTTTTCTCTGGTGTTGATATTAGGTTATTCACTGGTTCTATAAAACACATATTTTATTATTTTCATCAGGAGGGTCAGACAGTGTTTCTGTGGGTATAATTCCTAGGGAATGCTGCATTGGGATCACATGGTCTCATTGGACCACCACATGGTCTCACTGGACCACCACATGGTGTCGCGGGACCACATGGTCTCAGTGGAACCAGTGGAGTTCTTAAGGTCAGGGTAATGAGAGCCTTTTTTTTTTTTTTTTTTTTTTTTTTTTTTTAAATTTTTTTTACTATTTTGTTTTTTTTTTTTTCCTTTATTTTTTTTTTTCTTTGTTTTTTTTTTTTTTTTTTTTTTTTTTTTTTTTTTTTTGACAATTGATTGCCCTGTTAGGCCTTTTTTTCCTGAAGTACAGCATTGGGTTGGTAGACCAGTCACATGCTGGGAACCGGGCCCAGCGTCCCCTAGTTCGTTGAGAAGAAAACTTTGCTCACGACATGAGCCTTTGCTGTTTTCATGTTTTGTCTGCGTACCACTGCTCGACCTCTGACGCCGGTGTTGTTTCTCTCCTGTGTGACTGCTGTTTTTGTGTGACCATTGTTTTTCAGTTCAACTGCTTTTTCCTGATGCCGATGGTCGACAAGTTCCCTGCAATGTTGAGAGAGACCTTGGAGAGCGCATATGAGGACGATCTGGACAACGTGTTTGATGTGGCGGAAGCACGGCGCACTCTGGAGGCGCAGCGGGCCAACCTTGAGCTTGAGCTCCGCAGGGTAAGAGGACGTGTCGTGGATCGGAGGGTACTTTTTACCTTTCTTTGTATAACGAATGCGAAAGCAGGCGAACATTTTTGGGGGCACCTTTGTAACTTGGTTGACCTGTTACTCGTGAACTTGTCCTCCTTTTCTGTTTCCGACTCTCTTCCCCTTAATCAAACACACAAAAAAAAAGGAACTCAGTCTCACCCCTGTAGCTGCTGCTGATCTTTTTTCAACTCTTGCTTCAGTCTATAAGTCCATCCATAATTTTTTGGTTTTTTTTTTGGTTTTTTTTTTAACTTTTTTGACCTTTGAGGTGTGTCCGATGACGAGTGATGTTTTCTTTTCTCGCTTGAGCCAAAGAGAATTTGGAACATTTCTTGATTTGTGTGTGTCATCCCTGCTGCACAGGGACTGTGGAAATGTGCCCTGGAGGATTCTGAGTGGTATGTGGCTGGTCCTGTGAGGTTGATTCTTCAATTGTTTTTCGTTCTTCCTCTTTTCGGGGGAAGTCCCTCGCCTTTTTCTGTACGGTGTTTATTTGAAAACTTTTTTTGTTCTTTCCTTTGGACTTTTGGCAGTTTTGGCCCCCCACTCCCCCATGGGTATCCCCTCCCCCTTCACTCTGCCTCTTTCTCACAGCGTACAAGTGGGCCATTATGGCACACAGGGATGTGGGCCTCTCGCGCTGAACTTCGTCAACGTGGTGAGCCTTGTCCGTGAGAGACACTGTGACAGGATTTAAAAGAAGAAATAGAGAAATGAATGGTTTCAGTGTGCTCTTCATGTTTGTCTTGTGTATATTTATTGTTAGCTTTTGCTTCGCAAGGTGCGCTCTTTTCGTTCATAGATCTGTGACAATGTACATAGACATGATCACGACTAGCTTCGCACCTGAGAGGCACAGTAAAGGGAGACCCGAAAGAAGACAAAGGGCAGTCCTCCGCACACATCTGGGCGTGCATGCTCAATGCCAGCCATCATGGCAATTGTTGTAGTGAGAATGCACACCCCCGACAAATGGCATGTCGATTGCAGGCCAAAATGAAGGACGAACGGTCACCGCAAAAGACCATGCATTCAGTATGGCGCCCATGGCCGCAAAATGGACATGTAGTGTCTGGAAGCAGAGGGTGCCTGCAGTCGGGAATGGAGGGACGGTCCTCCACATACACCCGTGTGTGTAGAGGACTGTCCCTCCGTTCCCGACGGCAGGCACCCTCTGCATCCAGATACACTATGTCCACTTTGCGACCATTGGCAATATACTGAATGCATGGTCATGTCGTTCGTTTCCAAAGCTTGCCCAATGTTCCCCCCCCCATCTCATCTCTTTTTGTGATTGGCCGCAGACAGCTGAGTTCCTCCTTGCCACCAGCATCCCCTCCAGAGTCTCGCTCGCGAACAGACTCTCTGGCTCCCCAGCGTTTGTTAACTCTGCTTATTTCTACGTTTATGTATGCACAGAGGATTGTCTGCGTTTTTTATACTTGGTAGCCTGGTGTTTGTCATTCTTTGAATATTGACTATGTCATTGATTGACTATTTACGGACTCGAACTGTGTTTGAGTATCTGTTCAGCTGCTTTCTGTGGCATGCTGTCGGATCGAAGTCGTTTATTTCTTGTCCTAAAAAATCTGAAGATTCTGAACCATTTCTCGATTTGCCCGTCGGGACATCGATTAAAAATTCAAATTATGTATGCACCTAGGCTACCAGCCGGGCCGCCCGGGTGACCTTGTTTGCCCGGGCGGCCCGGCCGTGCGAGGGCCAAAGTAGGCCTCAGCAAAAAAAAAAAAAAAAAAAATCGAAAAAATATGAAAAAAAACTATGAACTTTTGCCTAAGGGTCACATCAAAATTCTTTACCAAATAAAAAATAAAATAAAAAGTTTTAAGTTTTAACTATTTTACTAGGCTACCAGCCCGGGCCGGCCGGGTCCCGGGTGACCAGCCCGTGCAAGGACCAAGGAAGGTCCCAGCAAAAAAAAAAAACAGAAAAAAATCCAAAAAATCCAAAAAAAAAACTACGTTATGCAGAAAAATAAACTGAACAACTTTTGCCTCAGGGTTACATCGAAATTCTTCACGAAATTTAAAATAAAAAATAAATTTTAAAATTATTTTTTTATTTTTTTGGCCCGACCGGGCAAGTGACCCCGGGCCACTCTGGTAGCCTAGCTATTTTAGTATTTTTCTTAATTTGTTTTTTTTTTTTGGCCCGGCCGGGCAAGTGGTCCCGGGCCACTCTGGTAGCCTAGTACCATGCACAGATTGTCTGCTTTTTTTTTATACTTGGTAGCCTGGTCTTTGTCATTCTTTGAATACGGACTATGTCATTGATTCAATTTGATTCTCCATTTACGGGCCCGAACTGTGTTTGCGTGGTCTTTGTCAGTCTTTGAATATCTTGGTCTTTAACTCTTTATCATTTTTTCGAATATTTACTACATCCTTGATCGACCATTTATGGATTCCAACCATGTTCGAGTATGCCTTCACTTGCTTTCTGTGGCATGCTGTTGGATGGAAGTCCTTTTTTCTTTTTTGGTTGTCTTTAAAAAGCTCGACCATTTCTCGATTTGTCCGTTGGGACATCCGTTAAAAATTGGAACGATACGTAAGGTTAGCATGGCCTCTAGGCCCTCTACGCAAGGATGACACACATAAATCGAGACATGGGCCAATGTGGACAAAATTTAAAAAGAAAAGGACCATTTCTCAATTTTTGTGTGTCATATTTGCAAAAGGCCCATGCTAATCTTCTTTGTGTCCGTCCAATTTTAATGGATGCCCCAAAAGACAGTTGGATTGGAGTCCTAGTAGAGTCCGTAAGTTCTTCTAAATGCCTCACATTTTTCGCCTCCCTTTGGGCCGGCCTTTGTCATATGCTTTTTTTCTCCTCTGCATGTCGTGGTGAATTGCATGCGTTAAGATTGGAATGATACACAGAAGAAGATTAGCATGTCCCCTGCGCAAGGGGGAAATCATAAAACACAAATCTAGAAAAACGATTCAAAATTCAAATTTTCAAACAAAAAGAAAAAAAAAGAAAAAGAAAAAGAAAAAGAGAAACTCAGGTTCATCAGATGCTCCTGTTGTTTCTCAGTTTTCAAGTCCTAAATTTCTCCTAATCTAGGCTACCGGCCGAGCTGCCCGGGTCCCGGGTGGCCAGCCCCTGCAAGGACAAGGGAAGGTCCCAGCAAAAAAAAAAAAAAAAATCCAAAGAGTCCGAAAACATAAACTATGTTATGCAGAAAAGTAAACTGAACAAGTTTTGCTTCAGGGTCACATCGAAATTCTTTACCAAATTTAAAATATAAAATAAAATGTGAAAACCGTGCAAGCCTGCAAGGACAAGGGTAGGTCCCAGCAAAAAAACAAACATCCAAAAAATCCGAAAAAAAAAAACTATGTTATGCAGAAAAATAAACTGAACAACTTTTGCCTCAGGGTCGCATCGAAATTCTTTACCAAATTTAACACCCGGGCCACTCTGGTAGCCTAGCTCCTAATAGATTTGTGTGCTCGTGCCTTGTGTTTCGCTCTCCTGCGCGTTGTCATCAACGGAATTTTTTCAGGTTGAGCGGTTGCAGGAGAAGTTCGCTAATATTCATCACCATCTTAGCAGCATGCAGCCTATTCCGCCTCCAAACAAGGAGATTCCACGGGAAAAGATTGTGGGACATGCGTAATTGTCTACGTTGGTAGGTTTATTTATTTGTTAAGGATAAGGATGTCCAGAGCTAAGCTACTGCTCGCCGCCCCGCCCTTCCCTCCTCCACCCATTCCTCCAGCCCTTCCTCCATACTCCCCTCCCCCCCCCTTCCCCTCCCTCCGCGCCCCCCGGCCCAGGAGGTGGATAGATATGATGGATGTGAACTTGTCTCTCTTGGAGATGTGATGATCATAAGTTCCCACCAACTTCCCGCCGACTTCCCGCCGATGACTAACTGGTACCCCTATTTTCATGTCCTCTGCACACTTTTTGAGTGCTGGGAAAGAGAGAGAGAGGAGAAGGTGGTTAGCGTCACAACTGTTCTTCTTTTTCTATTTCAGGAAGCAAGACAGGCAGGTGGTTTGGGATGGCATTCCTTTTGTAGAAGAAAAAAAAGAACTTGCGTCTCGACTCCTCCCCTGATGGCGTGGGACCCGGAAGGTACTTGTCCGCTTGTCGGTCGCTGTCGCCACTACTACTCACAAAACTTAGAGAGAGTGTTTACTGTTGGGCATGACAAAGGTATGTAGTTTAGTAGGGAAGGGACTGAAATGGTATCGGAACGACTTCTGGGATCATCGAAAGGGGGATAGGGCCCATCAGAGGGGTCAGAAATTGAAAATTTAGTTTGAGCTCACTCTCTCTCTCTCTCTCTCTGGACCGTGCTCAAAATAATTGCCCATTGCATCCATCACGATCTGCACTTGCTTTGAGTTCCCCCTTTTACCTATCGATGGAGTTTTGAACCTGGAAATGGGATGTCATTCCGTGTAGAACGTTCCGTCCACTTCCCTCGTGGGTGCGAGGGAGCGCGTCCACATGGCGCTCGTTGTGTGGGCATCCCTCACACTCACAATGTGGGAGAATGGGAGAAGGTGGCATTTGCTATTCGACTGATAAGGCAAGGCGGTTTAGAAACCGAAGGAGCTGAGATGGTAGGCACATAAGGGGTAAGAAAGAAGAGAGGGGTGGAGCAAGTTGACGAGAAGAGCGGTCCCGGAAGTTTCGTAACTTCGCAAACAGGAAGTCTCAAAGCTGAGATGGTGGGTGGTTGATTTCTTCAAGCTGAGATGGTGGGTGGTCGATTTCACATGGAGAGGTGGAGGACGATGAGGAGAGCCATGGATGGTCGTTCCGCCATGTTGAGATGATGGGGGTTGTTTCTTCGTGGAGGGGTGGAGCAGGTTAAGGAGAGCTAGGGCCGGTTATTTGTACATGCGGAGATGATGGGTGGCTGTTTCTGCTTGCTGAGATGGGTGGTTGACGAGGGGTGAAGCAAGTTGGGGAGGGGCATGGTGGAGCAAGATGAGGAGAGCCATGGTTGGTCGTTTCTCCATGTTGAGATGATGGTGGTTGTTTCTTCGTGGAGGGGTGGTGGTTTCTACTTGCTGAGATGGGTGGTTGTTTCTACTTGCGGAGACGACTGGTTGTTTCTACATGGAGGGTTGGAATAAGTTGAGGAGGGCCACGGTGGAGCAAGATGAGGAGAGTCATGGTTGGTCGTTTCTCCGTAGTGAGATGATGGGGGTTGTTTCTTCGTGGAGGGGTGGAGCAGGTTAAGGAGAGCTTATGGCCGGTTATTTCTACATTCCGAGATGATGGGTGACTGTTTCTACTTGCTGAGATGGGTAGTTGTTTCTACTTGCTGAAAAACTGGTTATTTCTACGTGGAGGGGTGGAGCAAGTTGAGGAGGGCCATGGAGGGGTGGAGCTAGTTGAGGTGGGCCATGGGTGGTTATTTCTACATGCCTAGATGAGGGGTGGTTATTATTTCTAAATGGAGGGGTGAGGAGAGCCATGGGTGGATCTTTCTATTTGAAATTGCTGTAAGGTGGGAGCTAGCAACCGTCTACAAGGACCAGAAAGGAAGGGAAGGGGTTTTCCTCAATATACTTAACGCAGTGCTGGACTTTTCTGGAAGGTATGCTGAATCAGATTCTCTTGTCGCAGTGGTAGAAGGGAAGTCGTTTTGTTGACATAGTTGTCGGAGTGCTAGAAGGGAAGGGGTTTTGTTGACATAGTTGGCGAAGTGCTAGAAGGGAGGGGTTTTCATCGACGTAGTGGTCGCAGTGCTGGACTTTTCTGGATCGTATGCCGATTCTTTTGTCAGGATATGGGTGAGAGGAAGGAGGCGCTATGATTACTGGTTCCATTGTGATTGTTGAATCTTTAGTCCACTTATAGGCAACTCTTATCATTCTGGTCTAGAGATATCTCTCTTGAAGGTCGGAGCAGAGATTAGATGAGAAGAGATGAGAAGAGATGAGAAGAGATGAGAAGAGAAGAGACGAGAAGAGACGAGAAGAGACGAGAAGAGACGAGAAGAGACGATGAGGAGAGGAGAAGAGACTAGACGAGAAGAGAAGAGACGACGGGGAGAGAAGAGAAGAGAAGAGAAGGGAAGAGACGAGAAGAGACGACGAGGAGGGGAGAAGAGACGAGGAGATGAGAAGAGACGACGAGGAGACGAGAAGAGACAACGAGGAGACGAGAAGAGACAACGAGGCGACGAGAAGAGACGACGAGGAGAGGAGAAGAGAAGAGACGAGACGAGACGAGACGAGACGAGACGAGATGAGACGAGCGATGGGGAGAGAAGAGAAGAGAAGAGAAGAGAAGAGCAGGGAAGAGAATAGAGGAGGAGATATAGGACTCACTCTCATCTTGACATTGCCTTCGCCTGGTGCTTCATCTTTGCTGGCGGATGGAAAGTAGAGAGGTTCTGGGTCACAGGTGGGTCTTATCGTCTTCCACAAATGCCCAAGCGATACGTCTTTTAGAAAATCCGCTGCAGCAGAACCTCACTTCTTCAGGAGAATCGGAGTGGGATAATCCCCCGATATGGAGCACAAAAACGCATGGAACATATTTCTTTGGGTGGGGAATATGAGGTAAGCAGTGAAGTACAGTTCTAGAGTCAGTTGCCAAAAGCGTTTTCACTCTCCGTTTTCACTCTCCAAGATTGGAAGACACCTGTGTCATAAAAGATTGAGGTGCAGCATTACAGCATGAGCAGGTGAAAAGAAGAGAAGGCTCCGCTGTTGCAGAGCTTCCGGTGATAGGACTGAAGACGTTAAGGGGTTGTAAAACCGAAGTGCGGGAGACTCAAGGGGGGTGAAGGGGCAAGGGGCTTCAAAACTGCAAGCGATGGGACTGAAGGGGTAATTTACTGTAATTGGTTTCTACTAACTTTCTAGAGGGGGATCAATGCAACCTGGAAAGCTTAACTCGGCGGGCATCGAGGATTGCCTGGATTTCTGAATTAGCATGGATGTGAGCATGAGAGAGCGATTGAGGGTGAAGGGCTGCGAGATTTCGTAGGCTTGACGGGGGAAAAGCGGCAATGCGATTTGCTGCTTCACGGAAGTAGAATCCGGCGTGGCTGTGATGTTTATGTTTTTGTCCCTCCACTCGTAGTAATTGCCACGACGGCAAGTGGCGTGTGAACTGATGGTTCAGGAACAGGACTAGGAGCTGGAACAGAAATCGGACCAGGTAAAGGAATTGAACCAGGAATAGGAATAGGAACAGAAACAGATATGGGGACGGTTACGATGTGCTGGTGACGACTGTAGGAATACTACTGGGAAGTTGGTGGGCTTATCATGAGCTAGGTTGGGGCGGTTGGTGGTTTGGGGATCCCGTAGAAAATGCATCTTCGATGCCTTGGGTATTAGCTACAGCTTGTATTCATTCAGTCATTTCATTTTGGCTGGAAGAGTAAGGTGGAAGGAACAGGACTACAGGGGAACTGGAACGGAAATCGGACCAGGAACAGGAATTGGAACAGGTTTAGGAATACGAACAGGAACAGATATGGGGGACAGTTACGACGTGCTGCTGACGGTGAGTTTGACTGGAGAGAGTAAGGAAGGTGGAAGGTTTATGGCTTCCTTTGCGGATGAGAGCCGCGTTTGCATTTTGCTGTAGCAGCGGCAGGTGTGTGGTTTATTTGTTGTGTTAGCCAGAAGAAGATTCCGGTCTGTGCGAGGATCTGTGGATCTGAGGACTCGGAACGTGTGTTTGAAAGAAGGAGAGGTGGATGCCGGGAAGGGCGGGGGCGGAGGCGGGGGTATTCTTTAGGGTTATTTACTGTGTGTTTGGAAGTGTATGCGTATTCTGGTGGAGCAGATGTTGCAGCTAGAGACCTGGATTGTATCATTTGTGTTCGAGCCGAGCGATCGGCAGGCAGGTAGACTGATGACGAATGAAAAGTCGATTTGTACTGGCCCTACTGGGTACCTGGGGGCAAAGTGGGGTAATAGTATGTAGCCTGTTTTTCATGCTACTGCAGAAGAAAGATGGAACAGATTGTGTGTGGATGGTGTCTTTCTGCTAAAAATACAGCAGTGAGAGCTGCTACGCTGCAGCATATCAGAGGCCTGGAGTGTGTTCGGGAACGGGCGCTACCCATGACCTTATGGTACTTTCCAAAGGGCTCGAACTTTGAAGCTTGATTTGTTGATTGGTTGTCGTTAGTTGTGTGTAGCATTCAGCCAGGACCAAGTTTGGACGGCGGCTGCAATTCAGAAGAATCTGCCTCTATGCGAACTTGAGTTAAGGGTCGCAAAGGGCCGAGGAAGGACTTTCACGTGCCGGTGGGCAGCTGTGGAGAGGTGGATGTTGCGTTGAGTGATGATGTTGGCATAGAAGCCGAGTTGGGCATCGATCACCTGTGCACGTCCAGGAACGAGGGAAAGACACAATCGGCAGAACGAGTGGGACAGGCGGCAGCAAAGGAAAATGGCATCGATCAGGTCTGCAAAGCACCGTAAGGAAGGAGGGTGGACAAAACTCTGCCACGGAACCGCTGCGGAGGCGGATGCTAGGTTTTGAGTGATGCTGGCATACAAACTGAGTTGGGTATCGATCCGGCGCTGAAGTCGTGCCCGAAAAGAAAAGACACGTTCGGCAGAATGAGTGGGGGACAGGCAGCAGCAAAGGTCGACGGCATCTACGAGGCCGGCAGAGCACCATAGAGGACGCGATGCAATTGCGGTTGCTTTGGTGCCGTTACGTTCGTTCAATTTCAGCGGCATGATGGAGAGGAATGAATCCGTACGGATGTTTTTAGGGCAAGTAACCGAAAGTTTGATCTCCTTGCATTGCGTTAGGGAACGAAGTCCCATGTAGCGAGTTGGCCTGCGGCTGATCCGGGCTATATTCTTGACGTATAGACTTGAGAAGTTGAGATTGATTGTCTATATACTCGCAATTCATTGCTGGGCAATACTACTGTAGTCTATCGGACTGAAGTTTTGCGTTGAGGGTGCTACTGTTGGACTGAACTTTCGCCTTGAGGGTATAGCTTTGTGCCTTGTAGGCTTAAGATAACTAGTTTTGAACTATGTAGCAGTGGGTTATAGTCATGGGCTATATGTACGTGCACTCTTGCACCATATTCCCAGACTATAAACCACGATCTGTGACCTGCAGATGGCAGCACAGCATCTGAGCTACATATAGTGTGGAGTCAATCTCAGGCTACCGTCGCCTGCTGACACCTACCATCTCCATGTCTGAGCCTGAACACCAGAGGAGTTGCTATCAAGATATAGTACAGAGGTAATCTCCAGCTATATTGTTGTCCGCTTAGCGTGTAGGCTGGAACATCGCCTCTAAGCTGTATATATATATAGTCGTGAGCTGATCTCAAGCTATGATTCAAGGTCTTCATCTATAGACCTGAGCAGCACCTCTGACGTACAGCACCTTGGAGGCATAGTCTTCCTCTTATCTCAAACAATGACCTTGAGGTCTTAACCCATAGATAGACATCTAAAGCTCTTCTCAAACAAAGCTCTTATCTCAAACATTCTGGAGCTAATCTTGGGCTAGAATATGACCAAGATGCAGTGCCATTATTCGATCTTTTCAGGATTGGCAATGGACTGTTCGAGCATACTGACTATACTTTTATGCTGTTGTGGGGTTATAGTCTCAGACTATAGTCTTCACTAGAGGTATGGTCTATGCTCTGTTTAGCAATACACGTGTCTTGGCTACTATACTTCACTGGAGCTATGGTCTATGCTACACTGACTCTTGACTGTACTTCTGTGTGTGTTGTTGTGGGGTTTAGTCTCGGACTATAGTCTTCACTGGAGCTATGGTCTATTGCCGCAGTTGAACTGTCGTATCCGGCCATACAAATCTATGTTTGTATAGTCCAGACCTCAGCCATCCAGTCTCAAGCTATAGACTTGCGACTCCGCCAACACAGTCATACACTATGCAGGCTCGACTATAGTTTGGCCTAGGTAGTTGTGGGATTATAGGCGTATACAATGCAGTCCTATAGACTCCTATCACTATTCAGGCTTGGTATTAGTTTAGCCTATATGTAGTTAAGGGATTGTAGCCACAGACTCTAGTCTTGAGTGGAGCCATGGTCATGACGTTTGTCGTCTTCCTATTTATACCTGCGAAGCGCATTGTCTTCAGCTATATAGGTTTTCACTCATAGGATTGAGCTATAGTTGGGGGGGGATTATAGTCTAGGACTATAATCTTGACTTTGAAAGCGTGGATGTACGTAGTCTTAAGATTACGCTCCTTGGCCACAGTCTTCAAGTATGTTGGATTTCGTCTAATATAGTCTTCTGCTATGCTGGTGCTCATCTAATATATAGTCTTGAGCTATAGCCTTTTGCTATACAACCTCAGGATTACAGACTTTTGACCCACACTTACTCTTGAGCTATACTCTTGGTATCAAGATTATAGACAAAATCGTGACGCTCTCTCTCCACACAATACTAGCTACAGACACGGAGGTGGTGTAGCGGATACAGACGGGCAGCGGGCAATCCTTGCGCTAAAGATGGATGCAGCAACTGACCATATTTAACTGGTTGTCCTTGCTGGGGGGAAGAGAGAGAGAGAGAGAGAGAGAGAGAGAGAGAGAGAGAGAG